ACACACACACACACACACACACAGATTTTTCAGACCACCAAGGCCAGGATTCAAACCACGGTCAGCCATGTGGGATCTGGCTCCCTTAACCAGTAGGCTGTGGGACCAGACTAAGTGTTTGTTTTGTTTTGTTTGTTTGTTTTTAGATTGTTGCCCAGGGCATATGCACTTGCCAGAGAGAGACAGAGGGAAAGTGAGAAATCACCCCCGGGGGAATGGCTACACCACAATTCTTTCTCCTTTTGAGATTTCGTACACGTACATATATGTGCCCAGCATGGCTTTCAAACTGCCATGTCCAAGACTTGAGCCACAGAGTCAGCCATGTGGGATCTAGGGCCTTAACCACCAACACCCACTGCTGGCCCCAGCACAAGATGGTTTTATCTTGAAAGGAGTAGTACTGATTATGATTAGTTTTAAATGTGTACTTTGCTTACAATGTGTAGTGAATTCATTTATTCTACAATATTTTATCGAACATATTATATGCCAGGCATACTCCAGACTCTGGATATAGAGTGATGAAAGGACTGCAGAACTGGGATGTCCTTCCTATTCTGATACTGCTCTGAGCCCCAAACCATCCTTTTTTAGATAAGAACTTTGGCAAGAATCAGCACTGTCAACACATAGACAGGAAAACTCACTGAAATTACATCCACACCAGCTAAGTCAGCCCTGAAGAAAGGGTCCCCTGATTTACCAGAGTATCCCTCCCTGAGAACAAGGATCAGAGAAAGAGAAGGTAGTGGCTTGCCAACAAATAAACTCCTTTTCTGTTTTTAGGAGTGTGACAATCAGAGGTACAATGTGGGGGTTGTGCGGGATGGAGAAGGATAGGTAGCAACTGTGGTAATAACTGTCATTTTTCTAGGAAACTTGGAAATTATTATGCAGCATACTGGTTTCTAATGTAACCTTAATCATCCTTGACACCTTCCTTTTTGATATTTTCTTCCTGTGTCCTCATTTCCAATTACTCACCAGTTTTGGTCTTTTCTATTCTGAAGACCCCTTGAGATGCAACTAAGTTCACTGTTTAATTCAGCTTTTATATATATATATATATATATATAT